ATCAGTTATTTTGAATCGAATCCTAATAACAAGTGATTTTATCATAAACTTTCACACACAACTTTTCTCAACTGGCTTCCTCAACTATATAATATTATTAACCACCTATTAAGCGGAATCTCTATATTGCTGTTGAACCTGAAGATGTTATCAATAAGAATATTCTTTTTTCACTCAAATCACACATTCTCTTTAAATATTATTAATAGATGTGCGCATACTAATCCCTCATTATTGGTTAGTTGGAGAGATGGCTAACTTTTAGTTCTTGAATTTGTGTATTATAATAAAAAAGCGATGACCCCTTTGTGTGGTTATTTATTTACGCAATTTTACTTAAGTGTGTTGAAATACAAGTGAAAAACTTGGGCACTGTGGTAGAATGTAGTTCCATATTAGATTTGTTTATTTGAGTGCAGTGTGCATTAGCACTTAAAAAACAAAAGAAGACACAGCGAAACTTAACGAAACTGGAAAATTCAGCTTTAAACAATCTACGAAAGGATAATAGTATAGTAATTGCTAAATCTGACAAAGGTAACTCAACAGTAGTTATGGACAAATCGGATTATCTTAAAAAAATGGATGAACATATCCAAACAGGGCCATATGAAGAGATTAAGAAACCTATAGATACTGTCATGAATAAAATTAAGAAATCTACAACAGATCTGATACGCCGACTGAAGCCATCTCTAGGTAAGTCCGAATGGTTTACTTTAATGCCAAAAACTAATAATCCTAGCAGAATTTACGGTACTATTAAGGTTCATAAAGCAGGTTATCCCATTAGGCCGATAGTGGACTTCCGGAACACACCAACATATGAGATATCAAAGTATTTAGCATCAGTATTACGTCCTGTTAGAGACCGTTCCAACTCTAGACTAGTAAATTCTTACGAGTTGAAACAAAAACTTAATGACCTTAATTTTATCAATTAAATAATACTGTATCACTGTGCGCTTTATATCAAATAAACAAATCTAATATGTGTTGAAATACACCTGAAAATGTTTAAGTGAATAGTTGATCAAATAAAGGAGTAAACTGGAATTTGATTATATATATCCGTTATAATATAAATGCTGCTTTTGTGATTTACAAGCGGAGGTATTTTATGATCACAGCCTTGCAGTAGAGTGATATTCTTGTAAATAGACAAAGCAAGTCGGGCAATTCATTCAACTTCAGAAAGACAGGGAAACAAACCTATTACAACTGGCTAAAATTTTAGAATATATTGATCAACACAAAATTGGTATACCTATGTTAGTTGTCAGATAAAAATAAGCCGGAACAGGTAAGACTATAAGTTCAGGAATAAAACTAGCTCACTGTCAGACAACTGGCCTATATCACATTTAAATTAGCCTTTCAGAATTGACCATCGTCTTGGAAAGTTCATTACTTTAAAATGATAAGAAATACGCCTAATAAAACAGCTGGTCAAATGTACGACCATATGACTGCGCAGATGAAGCATAGAAATGGTTTTTAACAAGTCCTGAGTAGATTGTCATTAGTTCTAGAAACAGTTCCTACTGAATTTGTTTCCAAACAAGAACCAAAAAGTCACTTCTTATGAGTATTTTGGTTCATCGTTTAAACTACCAAAGTTTGATAACCTTTTACTGATCATATCACCACTCATCATTCATTTTGTAAATAATTGAGCAGAATAGTGCAAGACTGTGATTATCAGTTTATTGGTTCAACTTAACACATCTTGTCAATACACTAAAAGAAAACTAGAAAGTCAAATGCATCCGGGTTAACTGAAATAAAACAGCTCTCGAAACAGTATGAGGAAATCATTTATTTGCAAACCACAGCAAACTCTAAGTTTTATTGTGATGAAAATCCAAGTATTTATCGCTGTTACATTTTGCAATGTATTCAGGGGCTGTTGTCTATTAAATGTTTCAAACTAACAATAAATAAGTAGGTCAATACCATATCTTTTTCGAGTTACCATCTTATTTCCATTATTGTTAGCACTTTAGTCTGAAGTTTGTGTGCGAGCCCAAACCCATAACTGCCTAAAATTCTTTCGTTTTTCTGGAACCCTACACCTAGCCTTGTTTCTCAGACATGTTAAACCTTAATATATTACGTTTATTACTTACGCTTTTATCATTCATCTTCTACTTTTTGGACCCCTATTTCCTGTCATTTCCCATCTATGTTGCATCAATCATTGTTATAAGTCTGAGCATAGCTTTTCTACACCAAGTGTCCTGATCTATGTCAGCGTCAGCCTTTATTAGAACAGAAGATAATTTTTCGCTGCATATTTCAACCATTGTGGGTATGAGAACAATTTTGTTGATAACACAATTAGTGTAAATTGGTAGTAATCTGATACATATTTTAGTAGCATTACTCTTTATGGATTTAAACTGTCCAGGAAGTTAGCTCAAGGAGCCTTTTAGTTGTACAGTGTGCCAATCCATCACTCTCTTTAGTAGTTGATGATATTAAGGCTTCCCATGAATAAAGTTCACCTTGTGAATAAGTAATTAGGTTCATATAAGATCTTCATGAACACCTCTGTATTCTGTAATTAGAAGTTACAAATATCCTATTTACCAGTTTCAAAAGCCTTTTGTTCCCTTTATGTTTCTTATTCCAGTGACCTCAGAATTACGCTAAAGGATAATTTACAACATTCATTTCGTGTCATTTTGTAATAATAATTATGATCACGATTATTTAGGTTGTTTAATCAACGAGCTTTCTGAAAAGAGCAGCTTACCTCATGAATTTCTTATTTTATAACTAAAAAAATATGATTTTTATGTGGTCTAGGTATTTCGATGAAAATGAATTTCTTTATAGGAGAAGATACACACAAAAGATAATTTACTAAATATCGTTTAGCCTCAATTGAATAGCAGTTTTTCACACTACATTGTTATCTTATACTAAATAGGAAAAAAAGTAGTCACTGTTATACATTAATAATTACACACGTATTTTATCAGGAAATGTTGTATAATTAGAATGGCATTGTGATAGAAAATTTGATCCAGTTTTGAACCATTTATATTTATCAATTCCATTAACTAAAACAGAAACCAATAGTTTAGATTTGACGGGGAACCCCAAACCCCACCCTAACAGTGACTGAAATAACTAATCAGGTTTATTAATTTCAACTCTAAAGATAGTCTTTTCAAGTAATTGAGAAAATTAATTCACCGTCTTTGTACTTTTTCGGTTGGCATTTCGACTCACTCAGTTTTGTCATTTTCTTTTGCAAAACAGTAAACTGACGTGTTTCGTAAAAACCTTTATGTACTCAGGTATGATACACTGAGTTAACTCCAAACCTTGATCACTATAGGATAAGACCTAGCAGCTTCTGGATTACAGGCTTGGAAATTTATGAAGGGGATCATGGAACCAAAGTGATAAGTTTCAAAATCACTTTTGTCTAAAAATGTCCTACCAATTTGTAATTGAACATCGAAATATGTAACTACCTTTTCACCATCACAACAGCTTTAAGGTCAAGCCTTACCATCCCAGAGCATATCACTTTTAATTACATATGTAGAAGGAGTGAATGACTAATATAGGAGTGAAACTTGGGCATTAGGGTCGATTATATTTCCATTTTAGTCTGTATATTAGAAATGTCGCACATTTCTAATAAACAAACTAAAAGGGACTGAACGATTGTTGATGAAAGATCCTAGATGGTCTTGATTAAGGGGTTGTTTATTATATGTAGCTTTGATAAGTTTCGATAAATAGGTTGACGGTCAGTGATATGATTCTATGATCTCTTCAGCAGTTGAATCCTATAGCTTAGTCAGTAGAACTCCGGGCCACTAGCACGAAGGCTGGAATCCTACAATGATGAATATTTTCGTTAATTCCAAGCATGGTGTCCGAATATGAAATTTGGTTTGAAATGCAAAGTCGTTTCCGAAAGTCTTATAAGCCTTGCTTTATAATATTCCATTTCAGTCGATTTGTTAGATATATCATACAGTGGAACAGCGTTACTAAAGAACAGATTACATTTCGGTCACAATTTATTTTCTATAGTCAGATTAAAGTCACATGATTGAATAATGGTAACAGTGTTTTGCTGTGATATATCTAAGAAACCAACTAAAATGGAATTGCATTCCACCATAGTGTTCAAGTTTTATAATTGTATAGCATTATATATTGAGAGACTGATTCATCGTAATCATAGGAATATTATGTTTGAAGGGTTGGATATTTCTCTGAAAAGTCTTTGCTGCAATCTGAATTATACTAACCTGTCAAGCAGACCCTCCTCTCACTTTTTTGGTTTCCAATAATAGATTCAGGGTCAACACTGTTACCATTGCCATTGGGTTTGATCAGTCGATAAATGTATGCCTGAAGTTTTAATATCCCCATTTTTCAATAAGAAAGTGTTCTAGTTTCGGAGTGACGTGCTAGAACGTACTGGGAAGTATTTACCAAATTATTTATAATATTAACTCATGATGTTCGAAACTCATTGTATTTCATTTCCAAAAAGATTGTTTGTTTGAAATGATCAACATAAACTGATAGGTTTTAAAAAGAAGTATTACTCATGAAATTAAAATCAGTCGAAAATAATACAATTTTGAAATAATTTATGCTAAATTCATACGATTTTACGATCTGGTAGAATTGTGACATGAAAAAGGACGTTCCAGATATAATTATTTTATCATTTGAGTGGTATATGAGCAGTTATGTTGTCGTCATGGCTAAGGTAAGTTAACTAATTAATTTGAGGTGTGTAAAAAACTTTACCTTCAAGAGATTGTAGAACATACAGTTCATACAGACAGAAAAACTAGTGTCAAAGATTTCATGTGTTATTAATCGTTGAGGAAATTAATTTTTAATAGTCACAATTTTTATTCGGTAGGTTTCGCCAGAGAAACAGACATTTTATACCTAAATACCTAAATATTCTCCGTTAGCTGTAATTTATATAATCGATATAATTTATTTTTCAGCCTCGTGCACTTGGACATGAACTGTACACTACAGTAGTCGAATATCTTCAACTAGTCGAGTATGATTATTTTGACTTGGAATATACTAATAAGGACGGTCTTCAAGTGAGTTACCGTAATTTGTTTTGGTTGATAAGCGCGGTTTTAATTCAAATCTATGTATCACTTTTAAAAAATTAGGACTCAGAGGCTAGTAAAGAATCGTAAAGTTGCTTCATGGCATGAAATCATTGTTTACAGTTGATTATTGTGATACTGGGAAGTTTCAGATAACTATGACCTTGATCAGTATAATATCCAAATATAACGTTGTATTAAGAATATCTTATAATCCGGTGTATATTACTTGCTACAAAAAAGCAGGAGCAATTTTCGCTTCAAAAGGGAACCAAATATATCTGAATAATCCCTATGATGTATTTCTAGTTAAAACTCTTCCCCATTCTTTTCATACAAAAGCCTGTTGAAGTGTATCCAACAAGTCCAGCTAGGATAAGAATTTGGTACACCTTAGCTTTGTGAAGAGAGTTTTACGCATTGGTTGAAAGCACTCTCAATCTTTTATATCTTCTCTTTGTTACGTTGAGCAGTTTTCATGTTGATATGTTATTTATCTATTTCAGTGTTGGCTGGACCATGCAAAAGCGATAAACAAACAAATCAATATATCAAAGAGATTTCTTTATTCATTTGTTGTAAAATTTTATACCCCTCATCCGAATTTATTGGAAGACGAATTAACTAGGTAAGAATATATTGAAACACTTTGTATTTTGTCTAGCAAAATAATCATCTACAGTGAAAACTCCTCACTAAGATTTTAATTCATATACTGTTACCTTTGATTGCAAATACTGAGTTATGATGAAATGGTGCTAATTCGGTTGTTTGCATTTACCAAACTCTGGTTATTATAAGAATTCTAGCTATAAACCCATTTCAGGTATTTTTCGTCATTCATCAAAACAAGCTAAAAAAAACTACTGAGAACTATGGAGATTTGTACAGCTATCTCATCTAAGTTGAAGACTTTTCAAGAGTATGCAGATGACGAGTTGATTTCTGCAAGATCAACTTGTTGAGCTGACATCTTAAGCTGAAAGTGAAAAGATTTCCTTCTTAGCGCATACAATCTTGAGGGATGGGTAGTTATGGTATTACTACTTTTTAAAACCCCATATCCTGTACTTCAAAGTAAAAAAAACGATGAAGTTGGTCAGATTACTAGTTAGCAAGAAGGAAAAAGTATTTACAGAAGAGTTATTGTATTACCTTCTTAATAAATACAAATTAGAATCTCAGCTTAATAATTTATCAAAATTGAACTACTGATTTTGCATTCTAAAGTGGATGCATAACTATAAGCTCGTTGTTCTGTATGACTATTTTTCGTAAGTATGTGTCCCAGTTTATTAAGTTTTTTCATGATAATGGATTATCAGTCGTACACCAATCAGGTATTTTGAGCCCTGACAAACCTGTCAGTTATATTTTAACTAAGACTTTTAGTTGGAAAACCGTAAGATAGTTCCTAAAACTTTTAATTTCATCCTATAACTACTACCAACTTAAAAGTTTAGGTGCTTAGATTACGACATTTTCAGATTAGAGTCTACTTTACAGTAATATAATGAAAAAATGGAAGTCAATTTAGATACAACTTGTTTATCAACTCATTTCTTTGTAAATTCATTTTCATGTTACAATGATGAGATGGTTTAATGTAATTTAATTTACTAAAGTTGGTCATAACTAGTTTTTGAAGTAATTCTATCTGACCTTAGGATCCTGAACCTTGTTGTTTATTTTGATGGTGTAAAAAAACATGATACAGCTTTTATTGGTAATCACTCTTTCATTAACTGGAACTTAAACAACTTCCAAGGAAATAGAAACAAAGTTATTTTGGAAACAATATTTTGCTGTTTCCAGGTTGGTAAATGGTAAAATCTATACCAACTTTTTTGAGTGATATGTACGTACCTAGTAATACCTGCTACCTTGACTTCGTGGTCTGACTTGCATATCAAAATGACCCAATGAATTACGCGGATGCAACACTTGTTCCGCCAACGTCCTACTACACTAGGAAGGTCAGTCGGATAGTGCTAAGACGAAAAGCAGTTATCATTATAGTGTAATATACTACGTCATGATAGGGGTCCGATAACGAAGGTGTATTGTCGGCTATATGGGGTGTGATAGCAGGTAGGCTTTGATCATAGATGACCAGTAGCCTACTGAACACTTCAAGTTGATTTTCGAGTGTTCTGCATGCGTTTCTGACTCCTCAAATGCAAATTTTTGTTCAAGGACTGGTTTTAACTGGTCTCTCGCCTAACAGTTGGTAGTTTTGTGGTTGAATGTGTTGACCAATTATTTTACCCAGGAGGACTTATCAGCATTGGTGGGCCAGTGACCGAGAAGATCTCTGCACAAATATGAATAAGGTCACTTGGCTTTCGTCAGCTAATATCATTTATGCCTCCACCATGATATCTGATTTCTCAGTAGGGGTGAGTGCACTGTACTGCGGTCTGCTCGGTTCTACCATACAATCGTGTAACATGGCTATTAAATGAAGATGACATGAGAAGGTGTTTGACCACAGTTGCCTTCTTAGTACAGACTATGTTCTGGTGTCACCCTGTCAGTGACATAGAAGTCAGGCATAACTTTTAGAGAGAAAAGGAAAGTGAACCAATAAGTTTGTGAACTTCCACTGACTGAGAGGTTTTGGACACGTCTTACACTTGCCTAGTGGCACAATGTTAGCTCAAGTAGGTTCATGCCGGCTAGGGGCGGTTAGAATAAAATATAGCATCATTGCATAGAGGTTTTGACTGTTTATCCGAGCGGTGTAAAGAAATGTAACCTTCTTGGTTGGGGTTTGTAAGACAACAGAAACCAATGGTCGGAAACTCTACGTGATATGATTCAAAGTCGATCTCAGTGCCACCGATGAATCCACTTATTATCTTCATCTTAATAGTCATTATGAATTTCAGTATTCTCTCATTCCTCGTGGTTCCCTTTTCATCATATTCTCTCACCTTTGATTGCTTCTTTATCTCTCACCTCAGTACATTTCCACCTGATGCACTTATATGACTTGTGACAACTTGGACCAGTGAGCAGTAATGGCGAGTACCATGTAGATATATACACTAAAAAGAATAGTTATCAGTTAAAAGTATTTCTAACTATTTAGGTGGTTTGTATTCATTGTTCTACGCAGTACATGAAGAATAACAGGCTTTATGAAGATGAAACCTTAAAAATGATAACATTACATGACGTATTTTGAATTCTGAATACTTTGTCCTAAATCGATTCATTTTTGACAATATTGCTGAAGAATATAAATGTCTCTGACAACTTGTTTAGAGTATTTGCTTATTTTTGATAAAATAACTACATAATATTTTATACGTCCATAAGGAAATAGGTTTTCGGAAAGAGTATTTACTAAACGTTATGTCGATCTAATTTTTTCTTTTTGGTTAACAAACGACAGTTTGGGAAGTACACAAAATTGTTTCCTTATTTTATAGATCTTCTACTGGAAATTTTGATTCAAAGGAAAAAAGAAGAGAGTTAGTATACATGCATTTATCAATATTTTACTGCTCAGTTTACGGAGTATTGTATTCATATATAAATCTCTTTTTATATATTTTTTTTCCTGTTTCCAGATATCTCTTTGCTTTACAAATCAAAAATGACCTTCGTTCTGGCCGGTTACAATGTAGTGAAAGTACTGCTGCCCTGTTAGCAGCTTTTATTGTCCAAGGTGAGAAGTACTATGCATGCATATGTAGACATGAATTATCACCATTATTGTTAACTTTGCTAACATTAAGTTCTTTTCGTAAATTCTGTTAACAGTAGTTTAATTTATCCAACCCTTCTATAGTATTTTCGTTGTTAATCAGATTCAGTATTTAACTGTTATGTAGTCGGTGTTCACTGTTACAGAGAAGATAAATACTTTGAAAGCTTATTATCAGAGCCATTTTAATTTGAGGATAATGTAGAATAGGGTAGTACTGGTTAATGGGGTATTGTATCTAGAATGCACAATATGTTGATGTGAGAGAAGGCTTACATGTTCTTTTCGCCTTGATTTCTTATTTATGATGAAGTAGGAATTGTATGGCATGATTTATTTGAGGATTTCCGAACTGTGTAGTCTAATATTTTCGTTTTTTCCCTACTTCTTCCCAATCATTATGATTGGTTATTATTCTGTTTATTGACTAGTTCACAACGTTCCTGTCAATTAGCTTATAGTCAAGACGTCTTTGTCGTTTTGAAGCTCAATGTGCCTTTTTTTATTGTACAGACTAATTGACATGTATCTGTATACGATGCAATATGTTACATCATTTACTTCCCAAACTATAGACAACAAGATTGAAAATGAAGACTCATATGATGTATTTTTCTTCACTGAATGTCTGTTTTAGTCTTTAAATCTTGAAATATTGTTTTTCCCTGTTGTTGGGAAATGTTTTGTATATATCTTGGAGATAATCGGCTTTTTATTGCTTGAAGGAGACGTTTATGTTTCGTGCAAGTCTGATCAAAAGCTTTTTAATGAAAATGTAGAAATATATTTTTTATTTTGATTGACAGTTATATATTAATACTTGTTTACTTCATATATATTAAGCACAATATGATATTTTCTATTTTTTTCAGTTGAGGGTGCATATTTAATTCATGTTGTGTGTGTGTGTAGTTGTTGTGGTTTGGGATTGGTAAATTTATATAGGTCTAAATCTTTTATCCACTCTTGTTGTTCTTCTTATCTATCCATTCAAATATTTTTGCTGACTAGACTTAATTTCATTCACTAAATTTATGACTGTCGTTAACGAAACTGTACTTTTTGAATATGCTTTACTATTCATATAAGATATACTGTTCTTCTTGTTGGAACCAAAGTCTTATTTCTTAATTATTATATTGTTTGCATTTGATCTTTCCGTTGTAGTTACAATGGTAATTTTTATTATAAGCGATTACATTCATATTTCTTTCAGGTTTCGTAAAACACCCTTTGTGTAAAGATATATCCTGTATAACATTAATTTGCTGCAGGAAATACGAATGCAAAGGCTGTCGTCCTTATCTAGTGAAACAGACTGCATATTTGATAGTAGGTATGTAGGATAGAAAGCAATGACGACAGTAAGAGTTACCTTATGAAAATCCAGGTCATAGTTGTTACGAATCTCTTGGAAGAAGGTGAATAACAACTTTGTTTTAATCATTCTATTAAAATATACAATAAGAATCACCAGTTATTTTTAGAAGCTTCTTACAATTCAGCTGATTAGCAACCGTAAGGTTCCATTAGGCTAGTACAACCGTTTTAGGTTGTGTTAAATTACGTAGTTTGACTTGTGATGCTTCCTTCAGTAAACCTTAACACCAGACTAGTAACATAACTGTCTGCAAGAAATATATTGTGATTATTGTCCATTTTAACAAAGTTTCAGCATTACATTTTAGATCCTCATATAATATTAGATAGTGCTAATTCTATGCAAATTTTCATAGGTCAGTGTTTTTATTAACCAACAATAAACAATTACAAATTATAAGCAAGTGTGAATTTTTTCAGTTCTTTGTATATTATCAACTTGATTTGGCTAGTTAGTGCAGGTATGGTGGAAGAACTTATTTATTTCATGCTTTCTACTGATTTTAGCAAGAAGAAACAAAGTACTGTATTCAACAATGAATCTTCAATGGGATGAAAATACTTTTAAGAATACAGACAACTGGAATTTTTACTGCAGTATAAATTATTTAAAGTTTTCAAAATCAAACTGTTGTAGGGAAGAATGATAAACAACAAAATTTTAACCTAAATAATCGACTTCATCTAATCAGTCATCAAATAATCAAAAATAATTGTACAGTAAACCAATTTGTTTATTTGGCCAGCTCAACAATGAACGTGAAGATAATGATTAGTGTTTGTTGAGTAAAGAGATTTGTTTGAATATTTTAATGACTAAGCACATCACTGAAATGATAAATTTATTCACTAAGAAATAATTTCTGTTTACTGCAGTGTGAAATAATGTGACACTTTTGTGTATTAAATACTTTCAGATAGATGTAAACATACAGAAAAATGTGAAATCTTATACGAGACTCAGCGGTCCTATCTGCTGTAATTTGCAACAGTATACAACTATATGTAAGCCTGTCAGATATTCGTGTCAGAAAGATATTTTGTATCACTGCATTCATGAAGCTAATCCATTCATTCCAGTTGTAGGGATTCTATAAAAAGGTACTCCTTCACTGCTGCATATATATATATATATATATATAATGTCTTCATCAAATGTTTGAAGAACAAAATGATTTCATTAGGCAATCTTCATGTAACTAAAAGTTACCTTTCAGGAAAAAAGTGAAGCCTCCTGAAAGATTTTTCGTGATTCACACTTTATATCCTTGAGTGTGACATGCTACAAAGAAAGTAACAGTTCTGAAAAAAAAGTTGTCTAGCAGATTTGGACTGGGATGAAAAGTGAATTATTTACTGGGCTTCATAAAAAAAATTAAAGTTGAATATCATCTTCGAAAATGTTCTAATTACCTGTCCGTTTTTTAATACTGTTTCTCGCTGAGATTCATGTATGGAATGAAGTAAGACATCATGCTGTGTCTGCTAATGAAAAGTTTTGCTTCAGTTGATGTTTCTTCGACAGATTTTCTCAGTCCATGGGTTGTGATATTCGAGCCAATATCACCTTTGAAATTTCGTCCAAGAAATGAATCTTTTTGACAACGTTATTATCTTTATCGTTTCTGTACGCTTCAACATATGCTTGTTTGCTAACTTCGCTGAATATTCATTTTATTGCAGCATTATCTTCAGCTTATCCACTTCCTTCCCCACTAAGTCATCCGAACATATATTTCGTATTCCGTAACTAAGTCATTTGACCAAATTTCTCTTGTACTGAAATAGTGTGAAGCTAAGAAAATGAGCAAATTAGGCGATACATGTGGTTTTTGAAATATATTCCTCTTAATACGCTCATCCGTCTTGCTGGTGAGAAGGTTATCTAGAAATGATATAGTGTCCCTCCGTTCTTCCTCATAGGGGAACTTAATACGTGGGTGAATGTTGTGTAAAATATTCAAAAACCCTTAATTGCTGAAGTATTTGTCATGAACCGTATTTCTTACCTTAAGTATCCTATTTCACCTATTTCCATGAATTTCAAATTGTAGAGTCTGAAGATGAAGTTATTAAAAACAAATGTTCGTAAAAATTGTTTTTTTTTCAAAATATCGGGCAAATTCAGAAAAACTTAAGAAATTATAATGAATTTTTTAAAGCCGAATCTCTTCACATCATATGAAATTAAAATTGGCCAGACAGAAATGAACAAATAAATTAGAATAACTCGATTTCAACCCAAACACGCTTACTAACATAAGTAACATGCGTGCGATAAGAACAATAAGCTCATGTGCACATGAAAACCTCAATCTATAGTTCACACACTCATCACATATTAAATATGATTGTTATTTTCTTTCAGCAATATAACAATACAGAATTTTTCATTCAGAAAAAGTCAAGTTATCATATGTAACCTGAATAATGTAAATTTCAGTTCACTTTAACCTTTCTTAAGCCATTAGCATTAAATAGTCACATGTCAGTTCTAAAAACTTTATGTTTTTGGTTGGTGTTGACTAACAGTGGAATCCGACTGGTGCATTTTGTCTTATCAGGGACTTGTCGACTGAATGTACCTGCATCTCAATGAGTGATAGTGTTCCCACTAAGACTTAAACCCAGCACCTATCAATTCAAGTGGCTGAGTAGCTGAGTCACAAGAGCTAAAAGTGACCAGTATAATAATTAACAATTTTGTTGGGAAATACAAATACCATAATAATGTCTAGAAAATTGAATTGACCAAAAATATTATCTGAATGGAAGTTCATAGATTTTATGATATAAAGTAGAATATTAATTGCGAAATCAAATCCATAAATTGAAATAATGAAACGTGACCTGTCAATTTTGTTTACCGAAACAATCTTTTGCTAAACAAAAGTTTTTTTTCTTTCTAAGTTTCACTTTTTCTTTATAGAACTCAGTCATATTGAAAAGCTTTAAACTAATATTCGAAAACCTTCCCTTTCATACGTTTAAGAATAAATTCAAAACATTTACTACTCTATGTAAAAAAGATTTTATTTCATTTTAGATTTTACTTTAGGTTTTTATGTTTATATATATTCATTTTGAATATATGTATCTATACTAGATAAAATTAGTGATAAAAACTAAGATTTGAATATTTTTAACTGCATTGGCTTGTAGTAGTAAAGTTTATTTGGTAATACATCTTATACTTCCGAAAGTTGCTAAAATTAAGAGAAAAAATTGTGCAAACAGTAAAACTAGTTTTGCTGTTGGGCTTCCTCATCCAACGTAGGAAGCGTTCGTCGAAGTAGTTTGGCCAACTTCACAGCCAACACCAGCGGACCTGTCATCTACTCCCAGCTTCGCGCTGCGGAACTGTTGCATCGCCTGCTCCCTGTCCGCCGAGCTGTCGGACTCCGCCTCCAGGCGCTGAACCATTCTCCGCCAAGTCTCCTTCCCGTCACCACGTTCCACTCCGTCACATGGCTGCTTTCGCTCTGCCCCACAGCAACTTTCCCAGCACCACGACCTTCACCTCCGGATCCCGAACCCCCACCAGCCCCGTGACCGCCTCGAAGTCCTTGAGGAAGACCTTA